AAATATTAAGAAATTTTCGGTCCTGTTTCAAGGTCCTAGAATATGGAATTCTTTACCGAAAAACATCAAAGACGCCCACATGTTTAAAGTATTTAAGCGACTGACCAAACCATTTTTAAGGGTCAAGCAGGATTCAGCTGAAATATTTGATTACCTACATACCTATATTTTTTTTTTCAGTACACATAATTGTATCCTTAAAATACAAGTCTTTACTTCTTTTATTTTCAAAAGCCGCCTAGTATTTAAATTGCCGAATAAGCTCGTTGGCTTCTAGGAGATTTCCCCACCATAGTCACTCCTTCCGAGCTGTATACCAATTTTAAGTTAATGTTAATTATTTAACTATTTATTATGCTTTTAATTCTACTTGCAGTACGTAATTTATTTTGTTTGGCAAAATAATAAAATAAATAAATAAATGAATAAATGCATCTGGCTTCTGACCCTTGGGCAAATGTAATCTCGCAAACCTTCTGTTCAAGGGATGAGATTCGGATCGTTTCAAGCAGACTTTCGCGCTTGAGCACTAAATTTTTGATGGCAGCCTCTTAATGATAATAATAATAATAGTGATAATAATAATACCTTATAGTGCGCAATTTTCCATAAAAATGTTCAAATACGCATTACAGTCAGTTAGAAAGTAAGATCTGACCTTTAAATAGATAAAAATAGTAGCTTGAATTAAAAATGCACAATAAAATATCACAGTGATAAAATGTTACATACTAAAATAAAAAACAAGACAGAGACTATGATAATAAAAAGGCTGAACTAAATAAGTGTGTTTTAAACTTTACTTTAAAAACATCAACAGACTTGGCGCATCCGACATCGAATGGCAAAGCATTCCAGAGTCTTCACCAAGTGTTGATTAGGATATGAAACTACGATAACTAAGTAAAAGATTATCAATTGAGTTCCTAAGATTATATCTCGATGGACCTCTAACAGAAAAGAATTTTAAACTTAATTCTAAATCTAATTGGTAACCAGTGTAACTCCATAGTGAGGGGCGCTATGTGAAAAAAATTGTGTTCATTAACAATCAGTCTTGCACAAGCATTCTCACGTACACGTTGGAGGAAACATTACACTCGTCTGACTCTACGCCATCTTGAATTTGGTCGTCTCGCTCAGTTTGTTCGGAAGGCACCATTGCTATTAAAATATCTGGAAGGGCATCTCCAGGTTTTCCTTGAATTTGTAGAGCCTTAGACTTGATATAGAAATTTCAGGAAATCCTTAGAGCCTTCAGGACAGATAATGTACCGTTCGAGCTGATTGTAAACTCGTCTTCATTGATATTTAATAGGGAATTTAAGATACGGCGACTATAGACTATGAACTAGGGCTGGACGAGCGTTGTCCTTTGTTTGTAACAGTGGGTTATGTCGCGCAAAAATAGAACAATAAGTAGACTACGAGAGAAGAGAAAGGAAAACAACACAATTGCTTTCCCAAATTCTTCCGTATTTGGGGAAGCAATTACGTCGGGTGAAATTGGTGAACAAAGTTTTGATTGCACAGTTTCTATTTTTCCGCCCATGAATTCTTAAAGCATTTTATTTTTTATGAACTGAAGCGAAGAAGGATTCAACTGCGTGCTCACTTTTCGTCACCGCGCTCTCCAATTGTAACTTACTCTGAAAAGCCCTCGGAGGGAGTTAATCAAACTACTGTACTGTACAGTAACTTATGACCAACAGTGTCATGAATTTTGGCAACGAATGACTCTTGGGCAGCTTCTTGCGAAAATGTGAAACTTATCAAAGGCCGTCGGCATGTACTTCTTGCCAACTTTCGTATCACCTTAAAGTCAGTCAGCTAAAATTTGCAGCCGTGTGCCAACTGAAAAAGTTTTGATTACTGCAAAATGGAGGCCAGTAGGACAGAGTTCACATTGTAAGCGTTTACTTGAATAGACGAACATTTCGCACGTATTCCTCAGGGCTCTTGGGTAGCTCGCCTAAATAAGGAAGGCTAATTTGTTTGCCAGAAAAGGCCATAGGATCAGAATTTAAAGTAAAACATTTAAAACTCCTTGAATTCAAGAATGGCATAAACAGCTTTGCGTCGGTGAAACTGCGGCGAAACGGACCAAACACAACAATGCATGAAGAATCCAACGTATAGAGTTGAGACGTAAACAGTATATATTTTTCAAAAAAAAAGACAGGTAGAGTTTATAAAACTGGTGTTATCTGCTACGCAACTAATTTACCCTTGCAGTGATGACGTGTTTGTTCCTTTTTTGGCCTCGCTTTGAAGTCGAATTTTAATAAGACGAAAGAAGCCCATTGATGCTGTTGTTTCAAGGAGAATTATTTGATATTGACCACCATGGCTGGTTAAAGATCTGACGTTATAAATTTCTGGTTTAATTTTCAATAAACAAATCAACGACTCTGCCGACATGCGCTTCATCCAATGTGTCCAGGTAAGTTCTAAATTTTAAATTTTTATTTTTGTTCAATACTCCCAGTCACATTTTCTTTGTTGTTGTTCCGTAATCTCAAAACTTTATTGCTAGAAAAGGGTAAGTTCAGGTGAAGTGCGCATTCGATCTGTGTAGTGCCTAATTGCTAAACAACCTCCGTCAGTTTGATTTTCTCTAGGAGGCTAGAAAAATTCCATCCCCTAACCCACATTCATATAAAAGATCTTCCTCTAAATTTCTCAGAGAAAATGAAATCAGACCTTTAAGAGGAATAAATGTCAGTCAATTTGGCAAGTAAGTTCACAAAATTCCATGGCAACAATACTTCTCTTTAGTGCACGCTGTGACGTCAGTAAACTAAAACCAAATAGGAAGCTTATTTATTTGGCGTTAATTTTGCCGAAATTCTATGGTAAGCTTCGATAAACTTCCATCGGGCCCAATTTTTGTGGTCATCCCTTGAAAAATTTTACCGAAACTCATAGAGATCACCTTAACCCGACAGGCAGTCTTCTCCATGATATCAGTTACTCGTTTACAATTTAATAACTGTTGGTAACATGACAACTCCACTCCATATAAAACCGAAACGTGGTTTTAGAATTAAGTCTCCCTTTCTTTATTCTCATCTTCTTAGACCTATTTCATTACTTTTTTGCAGCCTGTATGCATCGCGATACTCTCTTTAGCGCAATACAAATCTTTCACAGGTCAGTAAAATAGTTTACGCACCTACGCGAACAAATATAATCCTTGTAAAAAAAATTATATAGTGACAAATAATTTTAAGAAATTTTAAGTAATCAGTGAAAGGAATGACCTAGGAGTCGCGGCGGAGGCGCTTGCCTTTATAACACGCCAGAAAACGTCCATTTTGAGACGAAAATTAACTCAAAGTTATGTTTTCTTAAATGTAATAAAGAGCTTGCAGGAGTTAGCTACTCTGGGTAGATCCGTAGGATTGCAGCCCTATATAATCAAAATATGATCCACGATCTGTGCAGTTGTTGCCGAAATCCCTTGCGAAAGTCGAAAAACAGTGCACTATTCCCAAAGTCGAACAGAAAAATGGTCAAATGGACCATGCTAATACGGGTAAATGTGGTATATGCTGATTCAGGCGCACTCTAAAATTGTCGTGGGTCTACTTTCAATAAAAATCCAAAACTGATAATCTGATCAACACTTGATAACTGACACATTGTTGATCACTGATCAACAATTTATCAAAGTCGTCTTTCACTCAGCTCGTGTCTACGACTTTGAAAAATAGTAGTATGTGTGTGGAGGGAGAATCTCTTGGTTAGGAATATTGGACGAAGTCGAGAAATTTCTTTACTACGGAGATAACGCGGTTCCTTCCCGAATTGATGCAGGCGATCTATTGAATATGCGCTTATTTAGATAATGACTCAAGCTGTTAAGAAACGTGATAAACTATCAGGCCCTACGGTCATCTAAGATGGATTCAGCGACGACAAGGTTAGCGAAAGCAAAAAACTCACCTCTGTTTCTGATCTAGCGATGGATAGTATGCGTTTTTTGTCCAGTTTTTCATAAATAGCCTCATAGATTGGTTTCTAGCCGTTCTTGTCAGTATTCGTATACAGGGCAATTAATATAATTAAATTGGTGAAACTACTAATTCTTTTCCAGTGAAGAAGTTTTTAGCTTGAGAAAACGGCTGACGTTTGGCGGCGCTACCGCTGGTTTCCTCGCCAAATGACGTCTGAGAAACGAGCCCAGGAATTCCATACTGATGACGCGTCACTACCAAGATCTGGGCAGTACTTCTGATTGGTCGTTCCGCGAGGGAAATTTGATTCAACCAATCAGAAGCACTACCCAGATCTGGGTAGTGACGCGTCCTCAGTATGGAATTTCTGCGGTCGTTTCTCATACGTCACTTGGCGGGGAAACCAGTGGTAGCGTCGCCAAATATCGGCTGTTTTCTCAGGCTGACAAGACGTTTTACATACGTTTGACTGAGGTTGTCTCAGAAGCGATAAGAATAGAGTCAATAGAGCAGTCTATCGGGATTGTCATGCGAATGAGCAAATAGAACGAAGCAAAGCCGAGGGGAAACTGGGGCCTTTTGTTCTTTCAGTCCTGCCGAGCCTCGCTGAGCCTCGACTCAACTGCGTAAAAAGGGACACTATACGAAATGCCAGATTTGCCAGAAGAAAAGGTTTAGTTGATCTGATCTCTTTTTTCTTACAGAAGCGCTGCCGGTAGGGCGACCAGTCTACTCAAACCACTATGTTGAAATAACACTGGAAACGAAATCGCAATCTCCCGTTAAGGTGAAGAACGACCTTGAAAGCAACCCAAGCGTGTCTATCGGAAATGGAGTTGAAAGCGGCAGCGGAAATCAAAGAGGAGATGGAATAGGCAGTGGAAATGGCAATGAAAGCGAAAGTGGGGCTGGCAGTGGAAGCGGTTTAAGTAGTGGAGAAGGAAGTGGAAATGTCAATGAAGCCGAAAGTGGCACTGGGAGCGGAAGCGGTTTAAGCGGTGGAGAAGGAAGTGGAAATATCAATGAAAGCGGAAGCGACACTGGGAGCGGAAGCGACACTGGGAGCGGAAGCGGTTTGAGTAGTGGAGAAGGAAGTGGAAATGTTAACGAAAGCGAAAGTGGGACTGGGAGCGGAAGCGGTTTAAGTAGTGGAGAAGGAAGTGGAAATGTTAACGAAAGCGAAAGTGGGACTGGGAGCGGAAGCGGTTTAAGTGGTGGAGAGGGAAGTGGAAATGTTAACGAAAGCGAAAGTGGGACTGGGAGCGGAAGCGGTTTAAGTAGTGGAGAGGGAAGTGGAAATGTTAACGAAAGCGAAAGTGGGACTGGGAGCGGAAGCGGTTTGAGTAGTGGAGAGGGAAGTGGAAATGTTAACGAAAGCGAAAGTGGGACTGGGAGCGGAAGCGGTTTAAGTAGTGGAGAGGGAAGTGGAAATGTTAACGAAAGCGAAAGTGGGATTGGGAGCGGAAGCGGTTTGAGTAGTAGAGAAGGAAGTGGAAATGTTAACGAAAGCGGGGTTGGCAGTCAAAGTGGTAGTGGTGGTGGAAGCGGAGATAACGAGGATGGCGCTGATGGAAGGTCCGCCGCTGAAGGAAGTGGAAGTGAACAGTTTAGCGGGTCTGGTGAGGTTATTGTTGACGGTGGCAAAGTAATTTTGGGTGGAGGTGTTGCGCGCCTACCTACATCTGAGCCTATTATTACTTCTACAACAGCGGCAGTAGACAATTCATTGTCAGCAATCCTACAATTACTCAAGGAAATCGAAGCAGCATCAAAGGAGCAATGATGTCAATATATTTCTTGTCAATTCAATATTTTCTGCGAATGTTCGAACCGTTCGGAGATACTTGCAGTTAAGATACATGGGGTCGGAGACTGGGTCTGGAAATTTCTTGCCTTTTGTCTATCTGCACCGTAAACCATATTTTTCATGTAGTAAACGGTATTTGCGCTATTATTATTGCGTCGAGAGTTTATATCACCTTATAGGAGCCCCTTGCAATGTTGACATAAACTCAAACTACTGATAACGGAGAGCAAACAAATTTCGTGAGAAATAAAATCAAACATTGATTAAAGGTGAATAAGGCATTGAATCAAAGTCAGTGGCAGATAAGGGGGAGGGAAATGAAATGAAATATAATAAAAACTTTATTTACGTGTCAATTTATTTAGCCTTACAGCTCATGGGGGGGGGGAGGACCCATTGACTGGATACATTAGTAATCAGTAATTAGTAATCAGTACCCCTAATAAAAAAATAAATAAAGACTATATAAATTCTTTATATCTTCCTAAATCAAGAAAATAATTAAAACCTATTGCATACACAATTCTTTTATGTAGTCGGGTTGTCTGTGACTAAGCCGGGGATATGTACGTGTCAGTTCACGAGTCCGAATATGTTGAATTTCCTAATATTTCTCCTGAGTGAATTAAGACTTTCGATAGTACTTAGTTTTCTGGATAGCTTGGATCAAATGAGAGAACCCAAGTATTTTATAGAGTGTCCACTATATCGAACAGGTTCGAATTTGGTAGTTCGAAATCACTGTTGTTTAAGTAATGAAAGTAATACTCGGCGTGTTCTTCAGTGGAATAATTTATTGATGTAAATAAGTGAGAGACCATGCCATACATCACCAAGGCTACGTCCTGTAAACGCCTATTGTATAGCGTTGGTAGCCGGGTCCAATCTAGCCGGTTTTTGGTTATACGCTGAGCTTTTTTGTTAATACTGCTCTTAGTGTTCTCTCCTGTATCCGCTATAGTAGAGCAGATATGTGCTTCAATTGTTCACTTTCTGTTAAAAGCATGAAATTTGGCATGATAATAGTTTTCAAGGCCCTAAAAAAGATAAGATATGGTGCCATGGCCAAAACGTCCGTTAAGTGCGAAATTAAGAGTTTTAAAATGGCGGCCATTTTGAACCGGAAGTGAAATTAACATTTTCTTTAAAACGGTTGAATTTTAGCAACTTGGATAAGAAAATGTCAGTAAATGCTACGTTTTTTCATACAATGAGATATTATTTCAACGCAAATTGTCTAAAAAAGTAGAATAGAGATGATATAAGTGGCCGCCAGCTAGACAGGAAGTAAAACTACCAGAGTCGCAACTTTTAAGGAATGAGCTTAAACTTCTGTTGTGCCTGCTAATTTTCTTTACTTTAATATTTTGTTTAAACCTAATGTATACACTCAATTTACTATTTTCATCATATATAATCCAATACTAAACTTGAACCTACTTTAATTGGCTTTGATACAGAATATCGAAGAAGAACAGATGATATCTCGGTGACCTAATGACTTGATGATGCAGACGAATGCTTGTAATCGAAAAAAGAGTTGGGGATTGCCTTTTACGATTGTCACTCTTCTGCTCAGTCCATGATAATTAAATAACATTCTGGGGGTGGTTACATTGAAGATTAGAACTCTCACTTCTGTCGAGAGAGGCGCAGATTCACTTGACAGTGAAATACAGCTGTATTAAACCGCCGCCCGGTTGGCTCCAGGTGGATAAAAATACCGGTCTACTGAGCGGGAATCCGCGGTTTCAAACCCCGGCCAGACCAATTGCCGATCAGGATCTTTAAATAACTGACGAGAAGTGCTGCCCGATGTCATCTACAAACGGTTAGACTTTCTAGTATTCTTGGAATTTAAAAAAAACCTGTAGGTCCCCTCTCACGGTCCTTGTTCATATAAAATGCTGTGGGAAGTTAAAGAACCTAAACACTGTAAAGAGTAGACTGAGTAGGGGACCCATTTACCTTCCAAACGGATTTCTCGAAAGCTTCTTGAAAATGGTAAACTTTGAAATGAGCAGACGTTATTGTGAAAGCAATTTCAATCCAATATGTACATACACAGAGTGTTCCTCAATAACTCAAAATGGTGGAGTTTAATTTTCACTCCAAAAACCAGTTTAACAGGAAAAATTTGCGATGGCACCATATCACATATTAATAGTCATAATTAGTTCTATCATTCCTGAAAATTTGGTGCTTTTAACAAAAAGTGAACAATCCGGCCCCAAATCTGCACATATCTGCCCCACTACTAGACCTTTCTTCGATCTGATGATTTAGAAAAGTGCTAAACTAAGTCACAGTATGTTAGGTGGGTAAAATTGATGACTAAAGTTAATAGCGGAGCTCCACGCGCGCGCGGAGCCCCATAACTGAGTAAATCTACCCATCCTAGAAAATTTGGTAATTACGTGAACGTACACCGCCCGACCGACCGACCGACCGTCCGTCCGCACCACAGGCACACCGATATAAAATATCTCTATCAACAGGTATGACAACCCAAATGCAACGGAAGAAAAAAAAAAAACAACAAAATCGTGTCTTTTTCGACGTTATTTTTGATGTTTATACTCACGTGGATAACAGAGAAAGAGCTAGGGAAACGAACTTTTTTCGTGTAAAGAAAAACATGAAAATTTCATAGCGGCGGTGAGAACATGAGAAATGCTAGCGGCTAGGTGAAAATAAGCGGCATTGAAAGAATAAAAGCGAAAATGAACACAGGAAACAAAATCTTTGGTAAGTACATATGACAATTCCTCCATAAAAATAATGTGTAACTAAAAAGTTTGACGTTTTAGTCGTACAAAACGGCATTGTAGTCGTGCAAAACAACAGCGAAGAAAGACAAAAAGGCGTGTTGAGAAAGTGTCCTGCACGGGCAAATTTTTCTCTTTTTTTTTTCTTTTGCTAATTAGATCTATTGATCTTGGTGCCATTTTCATTGCCGTTCCCGTTTAGCATTACACGATTTATGTTTTTTTTCGTTCTAAAGTATTATTAACCAGAGCTTCACTTTTAGCCCTGGCTAAATCTATATATTATGTGACTAGTAAATTCAAATTATTGTCCATTTGAACTCCCAAAAGCTTGATTCTCTCCATTCTACGATTAGGTTGTCCGTCTAAGATTGTATCTTCGTCGTCAGTTTCTGCGTCTGCATTCCTTGGGTTGATGATTAGTAGTTGAATTTTTTGACGCAATTGTATTCCCTAATACTCAACTGCTGGACAGTGAATTATAGGCTGGAGAGCTCTATTATATTCAACGTTTGAACCTACCGGGACCAGACCGATGGCGAGATCGGAGATGTGAGTTGAATGCTCGACACTAGCAAGAACCACAACAAACAAACTAAGTTCACTCAACAAAGTTTGAAAAGACAGGAATCGTGGCGCAGCTACGTATACTAAATATGACCACTCGCCTTACATACAAATTAAAAAATAAGCCATTCGGTTCCTGGAGATGTAGCTGTAGATTTTACGAATGCTATAGTTCTCAGGAAAACACCCCGGGAGACTCGTTGGAGTCACACAATGTCTTTGAATGTTTTAGACATCTGTAGAGTTTAGAGTCTTGTCGAACATCCTGCGCAACGGATTTCTTCGAGATCCTGGACTAACTAAGTAAGGAATCCATATTCATTAAAAATAGGGAGAAACCCGACCTCAACCAGCAGGTGAAACTGTAAAACCTGACTCTCACCCTGTAACGTTACTAATTTAACATTTAAAAACGCAGTATTGTCAACCCAATGTTACCAACTTTTGAACATCGCGCTCGATTAAAAATCAACGGCGATTTAACACTGAAGATGACGGATGTACCGTCGAAACATGTCTGGTAAATTACGTTTATGTAAAGAAAGTTGTGTTGTTTAGGCGACTATCTATATTGTTGCTGCTAACTAGACCTTTTGAATCAGTGCTGAGAAAAACCTAGGAGGTCACAAGGTAAGACGTTTTGAGGTATTTTTACTGCCTTTTTTATTGTCATTTTTGACAATCCACACACGCTGAGGTTCAGCTGGTGCTATTTAAACTTGGGATACCTGTGGTTTATGCTCATAAACTTCCCAGAAGAACTTGCAAATATAGCCTATTGGGGACTGGGAACGATTACACTTTCCGCGCAGAAATTTAAACATGGCGGATGTTTGATCACTGATTCGATCTCTAGCTTATTTTCCACTTTCGCTGTTTGTCTAGAGAGTTGGCTTACAAAGATAAATTTCTTCCAATACTACTTTGTTAAGTACAGATTGTTTTTAAGATGTGTGAGCCCTCTTCAGAAAGCAAGAAGAATCGCCACACGCTAAAGGTTGGTCTAGTTTGGATGATATTTTGAATCTACTAACTGCACGAGATGTCCTTTCCTCAACCTAGAATCATCTTTCAAAGACAGCCATAACTACTTTATTCATTTACAGACACAGCGACGCTAAATTTCCTTTGAATTGAATCGAACTAAACGATTAAAATTAGTTTTAACATGGTAGAATATATAATTAACTTATAGATGTAGCAACGGTCACAGTCCGACTCAGGTCCGGCTGTGTTGATATGAGAATCGGATTGCCAAGTAATTTGCTGCCGACTGCGAATGAACAAATATGATCCATGGCTTCATCTATCGACAGCTTCCGTATTTGAGGGCAGAATGATATATAATTTTATTGGAAAACATCTTAGTTTAATACTGGACTCAGAGATCAGTCATACTCATATGACGTAGATTAATAAAATAATCCCCCAAATAATTTAAGCTTACATATGTAATAAACCTGATGATAACATTCATGTAAATTTATAGTTTTTGGCCCGCTACAAAACTATAGCTGTAATAACCTGATTATTTTTGCAACTGGAAAGGTTACATGTATAAAAAGTCCTAGGATAGATAATACCTAAAATCCTAATAACCAGTAATCCTACCTACAATAATAATTAACAAATTAGTGATGAGGCTGAGTATCTTATGAAGAATTATGGAGATCGAGGAGGGTGTTATCCGTCGAGGCCGTAGGCCGAGGCGGATAACACCCTCTGAGATCTCCATAATTTCTTCACATGATACGAAAGCCGAATTCAATAATTGTTTTATTATTCATTCAAAATAATTCCTAGCTTAAAAACATGGCTAAAACATGCTTACCTCCATCGATCCATCGGTGTTAAGTTCATCTTCGACAGTGCACATTTGGGTTTGTCCAGCTCCGCAAATATTCTCCGAATAGCATATGTCGCCCTTCAAGTTGTCTTCTTGCTGTTCTTGCCATGTTTTTAGCTATTGTTTCGCTTAGTTCTTACTCTTGAAACGAGTGAAATGTCTGCCACTTTTCAAGTTCACAACCAAAACAACTCAACCTCGTCCCCAGGTCTTCTTGGTTAACGATAGTGTGTGGTTTTGACCTCATTTCCTCGTTAAACACAAAATTCTTCCAAATTTGTGGTCATCAGTAACTGGTTATGGTGAATTAAACAAGTGTTTTTAGCCAATCAGAATTGGGAAAATATTTTGAATGAATGATAATAAGTATTATTTTTGTCCTTACTAATGGAATATTTAATTTTCTGCTTTATAGCCAACTGGTATACATGATTTTGATATCATCAAGCCAATTAGTAGAGGTGCATTTGGGTAAGTGGCTTTATTGCATCTGATTGATAATCCATAATAATTAGAAATCATACATGATAAAAAAATAATTGGTCTAACAAGAAGCAATCAATGTTGCCAAAATAACTTACACTGAATTGCTAATTTAAGGCTACCTTTATTTGGAAACATCATGCGGAACCTTAAAAGTTTCTCACATGCTTGTGAATGATAATGTGCGTGTGCTTATCCTTCTATACAAAATTTTTTCTTGGAAAATTGCATACAATGTAATTTACAAATGTATAATTTCCAATATTTTTCACCACGTATCGGAATGCCTGTGATAGTGCTGGAGCCAAAAAATATTTCAAAAGGAAGTAGCAACCACTCCTAGTTATAGGCTTCTGTACCTGCAAATGTTAAATTAATATTATTTAAGAAGTTTGCAATGTATTTTAATACATGTATCTCATTTCTCTTTATTTTAAACATCTATTAGACAGGTTTTCCTTGCTCATAGGAGAGATAAAGATAAACAATTTTATGCCATAAAAGTTGTGAAGAAGACTGATGTTGTCAACAAAAACATGATTGAACAAGGTTTGTATGTCTATTTCTTTTTCTTTTTTTTTTAAAAAAAATTGAATTCTTAACTGTAAATGGACTCTTTTTTTAATCTCCCATAATGCACTTTGTCTGCCCCCCACTCCCCCCAAATTTTATGCATAAGTCATGTTTTAAAATGCTATTCATTTGGGAATATGCAATCCTCCCAGGAGCATTTGAAAACTAAAGCAACATGTAATATAGTCGTGAATGTAATGGCAGGCTACCTCAACAGAGAACCTATTTCAAATTAATGTCCCTGTTATTCTCAGACAAAATACCTGCTGGCCAGCAAATTTGTCTCAAGATTAACTTTCCCCAAATTTCATTTAGTTACATACATGCCCTCTTACAGAATAATGTGCTTACTGGTTGTGAACAGTACAATGTAAAGTGACTGTCTTCGTGTGAATGTTGATATGTCATCATTTGTAATATTATTAAAAAAAATTGAGAATTATGCTTTGAATGGTTTCAAACATTGCAGGGTGGCTGGTGATGTCTTACTATTAGACTGTGGTCTTACATACTTACTTACTTACTTTATAAGACTTACACACCCCATGATGTACATTGTAGTACCTTGCACGTCAACAGTTTCCTTATTTCCTTGTTTGGCAGAGGGGTGGGTGCAGAGTAAAAGTGCTTAAATTCAATTCCAAACACTCTTAGTGCATTTGCAGATACTCAGAGTATCTGTGAGCACTGCACTAATCAAGGTGTCAGGGTTGTAATGTAACTACAGTATGAGTGAGTATTCATAATTGTTCTGCTATTTAAGATTTCTCCCTCAATACTGGCATGCTAATCAATTATTGCGTTGTTTCTCATTGTAGAGAAAAGTATGTTGTCTCCAATACTATGGTAAATAACTATATATGAGAATTGGGATCCTGTCCTTACTTCACATTTACCTGTATTTTCACATCAAAAAGTATCCAACACAGTAAGACTAAAAGAAAATACAGCACCACTAACCGTCATCTATTAGTACTAAATGACTGTAATAAAGACACACACTCGACATGCAAAACATTCATTTAGGCATGCATGTTATAACTGAGTGTTATTTCCTATGTTTTTTTTTTTCAGTTGTAGCTGAAAGGGATGCTTTAGCAATCTCAAAAAGTCCATATATTGTCAACTTGTTTTACTCATTTCAGTCAAAGGACAGAATATTCCTGGTTAGTTCAATTACCTGTATAAATTTATGTTTCTAATTTTTTTTTCTCATCCTGTAGAATACATGTACCTGTACAGTCATTTGGTAATAAGTGTGTGTTTGATTATCAATGCTCTTTACGAAAAAACTTGTACTTTTACACCAGACCCAAGTGTGCAGTAAAATGAAGCAGAGACTGGATGTAGTGTTGTTTTCCCCTTCAGTTTTCTTCCTGGGGTTAGGCCGATATTCAGATAACAGGGATGTAGCTACGTCAAAGCTTTTTTACTCAACTGCACCCTCAAAATTGCCCCATATTTTTTGTTTTAAAGTGTAATTTTTGCTGGTGGTAAGGTCTCTTTCAGCTAGTGAAATTAGCAGGCTGTTGCTCATAGTGAAATTCCTCGGAGCATCTGCAAAAAAATGAAATTAATTTTATCATCAGACACTCAGATAGAGTAATCCCTTCCAGTATGTAATAATTTATTATATTACCACTCATTATCACGAAAGGCTTCAGTTCCTCAGTTGTTCGACATAATTATAGTTACTAAATGATGCTCTATAATTTTTAATTTAGGTAATGGAATACTTAATTGGTGGGGACTGCAAATCTTTGCTGCATAACCTGGGATACTTTGATGAGGATATGTCAAGAATTTATATAGCGCAGGTACATGACAGTATTACAATGTACGTTGTGGCTCAATTTTATCGTTGGTTTAAATTTCTTTTTTTTTTTTCAATATCCCAGCAGCGTACATTTACATTATCATTACCTCAAGACAAAGGAAAATAAAATTTAAACCAAGTCTAATAAAATTGAACTGCATGTACATGTATAATACAGGATGTGTTCCTTTGGGATAATCCAGATCAGGATCAAGATCACTTGGATTACAGTGCATCAGAGGAACCACAAAATCCGAGTTGGACAAGGATTTTGTGGTAATTTGAATGTACATGTACCATCTTGGTAATCTTGGATAACAAATCCTGATTCAGACCTGGCCATCCCAAATGGTGTGCACCCATACTGAACATACAATTACACTTCTTGTATATTGCTGCAATAGGAAGGAGATTTGCATTTGACTTTTTAACTAAGTCATTTGTTTTATAATAAACACCAGTAAGTATGTGCACATGTTTTTCAGTAATGCCAGTTCATGGTATAGTTGTGCCAAGTATTATATGGCTACACCCTTCCTTGTACCTGGTTAAAGAGAGAAAGTATAGAGTCTGTATTCAAGTTTCTTGGGTTACAAAACAATGCTATATGGCAGAAATCTAACAAAATTTATGTACTTTACAGCTCATTAATAATTTTATTTCATTTTGTAACATAGTTTGTTTTGCTGCTGTTGGCCATAACTTCATGTAATTCTGTTTTCAAAGTTGTTCTATAATAATGTAATTCTTTTAACTGTTTTCATAAGTTGTTCTATAATAATTATTCTAAACTGTTATCCCTGATAGTTAGTTGCTTTCCTATTTTAGGTTGTTTTAGCTTTGGAATACCTTCATAAACATGGCATTATTCACAGGTAGGAAGGTTCCCTAGGCTAGGAGGCCTCATGAAAATGCATACACAAATATGCTGTTGGGGGTGGTTTAACATTGTATTCAATCATGTAGTTTGTTATGCTGTAGACGAAACTTATCTGAAACCGTTTTCCAGGGCTTCTGATATTTCGCGCGGTCGCGGACCCGCGAAATTACCCAGAAATATTTCCAAACACATGTCGGCAAGACATGTTTAATACTTATCTTGGCTATTAGACCTGTTTTAATCACCCCAAACGTCCAAATTTATCTTGAAACTTCCTCACTGCAACGAGTAAACAACGTCCCAAAACTATCAGGCGTTCTTAGATTAATGTTGCGAAAAACTGGGCGCTAACCATAATCTTAATAGCTCGAAATCGGCCGATTTTTCCGCGAATTTGCCCCTGAAAATCCCGCGAAATTTTCCTTTTTTTTTCCGCGAAATATCAGAAGCCCTGGTTTTCATCTACATTGTGAGTGAATTAAGGTTAAAATGGAATCTCCGCTCCGTTTAGGAGTCCATTCGAAGTAAAAGATATGAAAAGGAAAACTAAGCATCACTTCAAAGTCAAAAATACCATTTTCAGGTCTGCAGTAGGTTTTGCTGACTAGTTCCCTCTTGTATGGCGTATTATACTTTTACACGATTAGATACATTTGTACACAATAACATGTATGTAGGTTTTATGGTGCGCAATATATGAAACATAATTCAGTTTCCAATCCTAACTACAATGAATAGGGATCTCAAGCCAGACAATCTTCTAATATCCAATGAAGGAAAGATCAAGTTAACGGACTTCGGACTGTCAAGATTAACTCTTGAAAGAAGTAAGCAACCTTGATTGTTGATAAAATATCCTATTAGATTACATGTACCACACAACCCTCAGGACTTGCGAATTCTTCAAAGTACCAGTCGATAACAGATAGAAATCTCGATGTATCCATTCTTTACCTCCATTGCGTACTTACAGAAAGGTCTGGATAATAAATTTGGAAAAATGACAACATTTTGTTGTTTTTTCATACACTCTTTTTTTTTCATATAAGAACCTTTTTAATAAGAAAATTCAGCCTGAAATTTGCCAAACATTAAGAACATGCTAAGAACCACCCGAGGCTAAGAGAAGAACAATTTATTTTTCACTGCTTTTACTTTCCTAAATCCAGAAAATCTGAATTACATAATGTCCTACATGGAATCAGAGTCAATGCAAAATTCTGTTCTTTCAACACATTCCTATTGTGTACGGTCTATAATACATTTATATTGTACTTGTGAATACTATAATCATTGTCTTATCTTGTCTTATCTTGTCTATATCTAGCTTTAAAAGGTGTCAGATTTCCGTTTATTGAAATTAATTTTAAGAACATCCGTAAGAACATTTCCAGACTAAAACTGACCAGAAAATAAGAACGGTCCAGGCTCAACTCGAAAAATTGACATTCTTATAAAAAAGAGTGTAGCTCAACTGTCATCTTCAGTATGAAATCATGAAGTACTGGGTCGAGTTAAATTTAGCACGCAAAAAATGAGTGGCTAATGAGCAAAAACTGCGTGCTTATTTTGTGGATGGCACTTTTTCAGAACCAAGCTTCATTGATGTTATGAGCACACCTTCTGTGAACAAAACTGACAAAGCTGGATCAAGTTTTTTCAGGACTCCAGGCCAAGTGATGTCATTGACTTCGAATTTCACTTTTGTAAGTAATTACACAACTTTTGCATGTAGCGCGCACCAACAATCGTGCAGGGAAATCTTTAGAAAAACTTTCATAACTTAAGGGTCCTTAAGACTTAAAGTGCCTTCCTTTGGGATGATCAGGATCAGGGATCCGTGATCACTCAGATCATGTTGCGTCAAATGAATCGATGAAGCCGTGTCCTGTCAGTGGATTCATGGGGTCATTTAATGTAACATGATCCGAGTGATCACGGATCACTGATCCTGATAGGAATACACCCTTAGATAATCACTTGTTTCCCATCATAACTGCAAGATTGACCGCGAGTACGACTTTGCCAATGAACTACATTATATTCATTATCAACGACATTTCATAGTTCCTCAGAGCGAATTGAAGGACTATGTGCAGCAATAGGATGAGCGTTTGAATATAATTAGGATGGCTAAGTTACCGTAAAATTCCGAAAATAGGCCCCTCCATGTATAAGCCCCTCCAAATATATGCCCCCCAAACTCGTAACGCAAAAAACCCTCCGTTAAATCGCCCCTCCGAATATAAGCCCCCCCCCCCCGGGGGGGTTGTACTTGAAAGTTACCCTTAAATACAAAGCAAAACAAAGCAAAAACGGTAAATTTCTTTCCAACTATAAGGCTAGCCCAATCGATTTTGAAACGCAAATTTCCCTCCGTAGTTAAGCCCCTTCGAATATAAGCCCCTCCAAAAATAAGCCCCTCACAAAGGGCCTTTGAAAAATACAAGCCCCGGGGCTTATTTTCGGAATTTTACGGTACTTTATCTATTTAGGCCCCCGTCCACACGAATCCTGATCTTTTTTAAAACGCATTTTTTACACTATCAGCCTATCATCCAAACGAGAACAGTGAATCCGCTCCTTCATCCGCGGTCTATTCTTGTGCAAATAAAATGAGGTTTCAAAAATATCTGGATTGGTGTGAACGGGCCCGGCCTTAGTTGATGAAACCAACTATCAACGAGTTTTTCAGTCCCCCACAGTCGTAACATCATTGCTTCTGTAGAAACTAATCCATTGATCCTCGCAAGCCGCAAATGCTTACCAGCCATGGCAATTGTATATCTGAAGACTCCTTATCATCGGTAGGATAACGCTCAGCGCATTGGTGTATCATAAAGTCGTGCTTATTATTGGCAATAAAATGATTCAAAGAACAAATTTGCGATCACCAGTTTGTTTGATCCACAGTCCCTGTCTTCTGTGAAGCCTGCCTATAGATCTAGACTTAACAGCAGCTGTGGAGAATTACAGCACCACTTGGAAAACACGCCTGCAGTGCCATGTGAATCTTCTGTTAGTCACACCGAAAGAATCCCTGGTGCCACTCCCAAAACTGCTATGAAGCCTTGTGATCAAACGCCTCTCGCTCCATTGGCTGGTGAGCTTTTCAAAAAATACTTATCTGGACAGACTATATGTGGCATGTATTTAATAGTACAGCTTGTTTATTAGCAAGATTCACATTATTAGACTCCTACATTTACATATAATATTAGTTGAACGCACTTCGTTTCCATGGACCGTGCTTTCATGGCACACTTCCAGTCCCTAACACCACTGAACTCGAATGCATTCACAGGGGTGTTCTCCACTCATGAGGAACACGTTCAAGGGCACGTCCTCTCATCCACCGACCACGACTCTTCATTCATTCATTCATTCATTCATTCCCTCCCTCCCTCCCTCCCTCCCTCCCTCATTCATTCATTCATTCATTCATTCATTCATTCATTCATTCATTCATTCATTCATTCATTCATTCATTCATTCATTCATTCATTCATTCATTCATTCATTCATTCATTCATTCATTCATTCATTCATTCATTCATTCATTCATTCATTCATTCATTCATTCATTCATTCATTCATTCATTCATTCATTCATTCATTCATTCATTCATTCATTCATTCATTCATTCATTCATTCATTCATTCATTCATTCATTCATTCATTCATTCATTCGTTCGTTCGTTCGTTCGTTCGTTCATTCATTCATTCATTCATTCATTCATTCATTCATTCATTCATAATAATAATGTAGATGTATTAGGCTCTTTCTAATTTGGATAGGGTAACTAACTGAACAGACTTTGTTTTTGCAGGTCAAGGCACGAAGAAAAGAACCCACTTTTGTCCGAAAATCAGCCAAAGAACATTTAACGTCGACGACCCTCCAGAAACGCCTCTTCTTTCAGATAGAGCGGGTCACAAAAATGTTAGAAACAGATCTCCAGAGGAAGATCATGTGCTGCCAGCTAGTAAGAGACTTCGCCATTCTGGCCTTACCGCTGAGATCGATGCTCTGTCCTTAAAAGAAATCGGAAGGAAAACTTTTAGAGATCCTCTGCTGGAAGTTTGTGTCTCAGCGTCTCAAATGTCTGGTGAAAAGAGCGCAAGCGCAGACTTGGTAACTTCACCTTTCAATGGAAGTCCTGTCACAGAGAGGGACAAGGCGAGCCCACAGGTCGCTCATAAATTTCTTACACCCTCAAGCCCGCCTTTCTCTACAGCTGGTAATATCAAGTTTTTCAGTCCACGTGAAAGATCAGGAACAATTACAGAGTTTTTAAAGGAGAAAGGACAAGTCACACCAGGGAGCGACGACTGCTCTAAAGGAGAGCAAGTGATGAGCATCTTGACACCTGTAACGTCTGTGGCCCGAAGAATCGTGTCCCCCGAGGTGCAGTTTTCTTCGGGTTATGTTAGCGGAACAAACAGTGAAACAGGAAGCGACTTTGACCATGAATCTCCTGTGTTTGAGAAAGTTCCAGATGGCGATTGTAACAAATTTGATGGAAATTCAAATTGTGCGAGGTTGTTTCAAGGCCGTAAATTAGCAGTTGATAATCTTAACACGAGCACTGGTGCCACTCAGGATACGAGTGGAAGTTCAGGCTTTATCGAAAGTCCAGCCAGCAGGTCCGCTCTGACCTGTTCAAAGAACAATCAGTATCCAGCTTTTAATTGCACTCCGTGTTCATCTAAAATCAAAGTTTCTGATGAGATAATGCGTACAGCCAAGGAAAAAAGAAGTAACTATTTGGAAAGGCGTGAAAGTGGAGTTTCTTTTCTACCACCTTCACCCATGATCGGGGCCACACCTGAGCCATTTGTTCTACGAGAAAGGAGCATAACGATCGAAGTTGAAGACCAGGAGAATATCAGTGAATTGCATGTTGGCTCAAGAGGAAATGTCAATTCTGATGAAGAGGTTTTTATTAAGTCTACTGAAACTTACAAGACTGTCGATGGAAATTCAAGCGTCGGATCTTCTCTTACTCGCCCTCGATGTCTTACTATTCCCTTTGAGAACGACAGTGACAAAGAAAATACCTTTGAGGAAACATACTCAAAGTCAACACAACACACTGGTATGGAAATCAATTCACCCCTTATGGCGGAATCCCCAATGGATGTCACATTCAAGAGTCAGGCAAGCTCTAAGGGCACTCCGGGTATAATGGAGGTGTCTCAACAATGGCATCATACCTCGGCCCCTATTATGCGTACTCCTTTTCGGACCCCGAAGTCTTGTCGCCGAGGCAACCGAACGCATGCATCACCACCTAAGAACAGGATACTTGGAACTCCAGACTATTTGGCTCCAGAAATTTTGCTAGGGCACGATCATAGTAAGTGTGTCTCTAAAGCTACGTGCAAACGGACGCAAAAACTCCCAACAATGTTGGGACCTGCAGTGCACCGTGGGAAGGATAAAACCCATAAGCCTTTGTAAACAATGTGTAAGGCACGTGTTCGGCTCCAACAGTGTTAGAAGAGCTGTGCAAATGGATCCAACATTGTTGTGCTACGCTTTGGCGATCACGGGACAACAGAAATGTTGGGGGTTGTTGACTCAAAAGTTTGGCCGCTTTCAAATTTTACGCAACAACTCCCAACAACATGCAACAGGGTGTGCAAACGGACGAAACATGTAACATCCAACAATGTTGGGAGTTGTTGGCCAACAATTTTGCGTCCATTTGCACGGGGCTTAAGAGATCAATGCATTTTGATAATGCATTAAGGAAGAATCTTGACTCTAACTTTTGTCACAAAGCCTTTGGAGAAGAGTTGTAAAGGACTCTGTTTAAATAAAAATAACAGATAATCATCCCTTTCCTTTTCCCCAAACTGACAACATTGAGTATCAGCTGACAGAGTATTTGGCTAGAGTACAGCAGTTGAGGCTCTCATGCAAGGAGTTAACTGCTCTTTTTCTGCAAAATGAATAATAAAATGGCTTGGTAAAGGTTCTTCCTTCTTGACCCTATTCATTTAGGGTAGTAATGGTAGAAAGAGACATTCAAGAAAACACTAGAAAATATTTCAATTTGACTGGATTTATGAAAATATTTATTCTGTTCTAATAGCATTAAGGTCAGCAAGAGTACCTCGATGCTCAGTGCTTCTTAGAAACGCTGTGGATACTCTAGCTGCTGTTTCACCTTTTCGAACAAATTCTAGCATTTATACTGCAGCTTCAGCTACATTTGCGTTATGTGTAGGAGCCAGAGAACGACTCGATGTAATATTCTAATTACTACTAATTATTAAGAGTGATGAGGAATTACATGTAAAACTAAACAACTTTTGAAGGGAGGATGGTATTCATCGCCTATCTTTCGAAACAATGAGAAACATAGTTTAATTCACTAGAGAAAATAATGTCTCTGAGCATGGGTTTTATTTTTGCCTTTAGCTCCTGCAGTGGACTGGTGGTCACTAGGCGTTTGTTTGTATGAATTCCTAACTGGAGTTCCACCATTTAATGACGACACCCCAGAACTGGTCTTCAGCCACATCATGCAAAGAGGTACGTTGCTAAATCCTTTTCTAGGCAAAGACTTGTCTCAAGAATATTCACTTATGAGTTATCGAATATTTAAGATTGATTCATCATTTTCTAGAGCTACTTTGGCCTGAAGGAGACGAAGCACTGTCTGAAACAGCCGTTGGGGCCGTTGAGAAAATTCTAACCCTCAAAGCAGAGCTCAGACCTGGAGCATTAGGTATTTTAACGACGTCTTTGTTATATTATTCTAAACAACAGCAACAACAAAAATTGCAGAGACTTTTAAGTTTAGTTTCCTTAGTTTTTTTGGTCGTGTTGCTTGCAACGTTTATTCAACTACCAGATTCACCACCTGGTTACGTTAGATTGTGTTCAAAGCGCATTTGTTTTATCGATTAAAAGAGGAAAAAAGATTATTTAGCGAGTATATAATTACGTGCCGAGGATAGTCTGCGCAGATCTAAGACTAAAATTAGGAGAACAGACCTGACTGCCTTAATTGAGGATGGCTGTAGACGTTGCATGCTGTGTAATAATTAACTTTGAGACCCTAAGCAAAATTTTTATCCTGTTATCATAAACATACATTTTTACGGGTAAATAGGTCTTATTTTTTTCTTTTTCTTTCCTAGCGTTTACTATTTGAATGACTATTTTAACATTATTTTAACACTATTTTAGTATTTAATTTTTTTATTATTATTATTTATCTGTTATTTGCGTCACCAATTAGTACTATGCGCTAGAGATTCTTGACACGTTAACAAAGTTCACTATTACTAGTATTAGGCTGGTCGAACAGAAAAAATGCGGATTTTACAGACGGTCTCTATTTCATTTAGACTACACCAGGGAAACAAGCTAGACAACTCAAATGCCGTTTGCTTGTTTGTTTGATATGTACTTGATAACTCAAGGTTCTGATTTGTTTTTGTCCGTTAGAAGTAGTTGAAACCTAACTCCGTATCTCTTATCCTTACAGAAATTCAAAGTCTTCCATTCTTTTCAAATCTCGACTGGACGTCCATCGATAGCCATCCTCCGCCATTTGTCCCTCGGCCAGATGATATAACTGACACTACATATTTTGATGGTAAGATCAAATTCCTCCAAAATCACCACTCCAAAATAAAATTTCCCAAACATTTTCCCTTAATGCTGGTTATACAATACTGAGCCAAATTCTTTACATGTTTGTTAGTTTAAACTTCAGTCAATAATCTCTCCCTTCTTCTCTTAGAGAAATTATTACTTGAAGACTGCAAACATCATTATAATGCTTTAATTTTTCTCTCTTTGCAGCTCGAAATACAATACAAAATCTACGCCTTTCTTCCTTTAGTCATTGAGGAGAGACGAAGTTTAGGAGTACACTGTATCATTAACAAATTATCATTAACTATTGATCCGTGAACTGAGAATATTTTCTGTTAAGCTTCACTGATTTTCTACGGAATGCATCTTTCTTGTTATTTATGTTGGTCCTGCTCATGGCTCTTTGTTTACAAAAATTTGTGTACATTGTAACTTTGAAATTTTGCCGGGAGGTAGCCTTTTAAGTTACTATCACGGCGACTTCTGAAACGTCAAGTATTGAATTTTAGGCGTCATGTATTAAACGCAAGAGGAGGTTTTCATCCACTATTCAAACACTAAAAAGCGAGGTGTAGTTGAGGTTTTTTAAGAAGTGTCTGTATACCGGATGAAACATTCTGCTTAGTGATTGATATTGCGTCTAAAGTCTTAATTTTTGAAGAAATTCAAAGCTTATCTTTGCATTCTGTACTTGATTTCCGTATTGTCCTTCATGTGTCATTAATAGATTAACGATATTTTGTTTTGCTTCTTGTCGTGCATCATAAGCCTCTGCTTTTGAACTCTTGTGTTGACCCCACTACATCTGCAGCAATATACATGTATAAAAAATGAAGACAATTTGAGTGTGTTGAGGCGATGTGTTTTAGGCGAGCGATAGTATTTGCAATGCTAATATAAAATTTATTTAGGACGTGACGTGTTATTATTTTTGTGCAAACTAAACGGCATTAAAAACGGCTTGTTGTTTGTCATGTTTTTAGTTAGCAATCAGGGTCTTCAGTTTAACTGGACGCCCATCAAATCTACGCCAAACCACTGTCTATCATTGTACCTCTTACCAGTGCTGAAATAATGCAAAAAAATACATCTTGATTATAGGCTGACAATGTTGTGGTTTAATTTTGTTCGTCGTTCAAATTTTATTTTCCTTTTCTTCAAATTTAGTAACATTCGCAAAAGAAAAGGGAATAAAACAAAAAACGAAATTAAACCAAACCAGCTTTAGAAAGGCAATACTGGTTTTGTTGTTGTTGCTGCTGAAATACTGCAAAAAGCTATTGTGATATTGCATCAAATGTTTGGCAAGAGCGCCCGTAGCCATTGTCTCTTTACCATATGGACATTCTGAATCTGAGTCTGAATCTCATTTAGAAGGCAGGGGGCTTTTTTTCTTTTCGCTTTTGAAGCTCTGTCATAAGTTGTACACTGGTTTTAACCCTCGGACGTTCAAGGGGGGGGGGGAGGGGTGGCTGCCACCCTCCTCTAAGGTTTTTCTGATTTTTTTCCTAGACGATAAAACATCGGCATCTGAAGTTCTCTGTAGCTCTTTGTTTATCCCTCGAGCTCATTCTGAGACAAGTTTAGTGATGGTCAGTTACTATGGTTACGAGATACGACGTGACAGGTGGTCAAACCATTTTTGAGTGAAAATGCATGTTTTTTCAATAATAAAAGTAAAACTTGTGAATAAAATGATGCAAAGTAATTATTTGTTTTATTTTAAATTGAAACTGCCCAGTGGAAGAAGCCAAGAAGATGGAATGTTACAAAAGACTAAAATATGAACGATTGGTCCAAGTTTCAGGTCTTTGTGGCCCACAGTTTCTGAGTTATTTGCCGAAACGTTTCATGCACCTTTGCAGAGCTTTGTATGGAGACGCCATATTGATGTACCGTTTTGGTCCACCAATATGGCTGCCGGAAATCAACAAAAACATCATGATCTGAAGTTCACTTTCCCTACAAAAGCTCTTTCTTTTCACTCGAGAACTAGCATACGTGCGCATAAACATATCTTCTAAAACTTGAAATGGTTATCCTACTGAAAATCAAGTGGAGAGACTTTTCAACGAGAAAGCATTCCTATTTTTCTTGGTGTCACGCATTGTAAAAGCTCGGAAGTTCAAATTGCTGTATTTGCGAAATGAAGTGTGCTACGGGAATGGAAACTTGTATAAAGATTTCTTTTTTGTTCATCTTCAACCAAGTGTAAATAAGAATTCGTAAAACCTCGCTATTTTGACTTTACAATTTGATTACTGTGGTCAGCCATTTGTTTCAAAATTATGACACGATATACGTGCGGTTTTTTCCCACGTATACTTGCAATCATTCCTGCTACACGATATACGTGCGTTTTTTGGCCACTTATACTTGCGTTCTTTCCTGCTTTGTGGGGTTTTTATTCCCAAGTATATGACCATTTTTTCTTACAAACGCTCATATATATGCGCACAAAAAAGCCCATATATATGCATTGCAAACAAGCATGTGGTATATGGGGTCAGGGAAAGTCGTCGTGTAAGAGGCACCGAAATTATACCGCCAGCAAAAATCCCCTTCATGTACGATGGCGCTGAAAAGTAACTTCAGATTGAATCAAGCATGGCCGCAATGACCGCGTTAATTTCGAGCAAGGTTTGGTTCTTATTCACTGCCATCACAGTAGTGGTGGTTGTTGGTTCCCCGAAAACGGATTTGTTGGAATCCGTGGATTGTCTCTTGAGAGACTGTGTACGCTCAGGTTTCACGAATGCTGGCCGAAACAACGATCGATTCAGTTAAACATTAGCGTCCGACAGGCAAAACACGACTCATAAGCTCGTGTGATAATGTGAAGCATGACCTTGAGAGTCTGCTTGAACAGATCGGTTTTTGTTCTTTTCTCTCTCACGCGCGAATTATCACCTTTTCTCCTCCACGAACACGCTCTAAGCCTCCTAGTCTCGAAGCTTTGTATTCTTTCTCTCCATTCACTATATAAATTCGGTCCATGTTTCTTGTTTTGTATTCTCACACTTTAATAGCCTTCCACCTGCCTCTCTTTCCTTGCTCCTCCACTTTAATTGTGATTTTCATGATTATCTAACTCGTTCTCGTTCAACTTGCATAAAATGTCCCTCAGGTATCAATTTACTATTATTAATTAGTTCTCAAGCCCCGATTATTTGGCCAAGGATATTCCACTGATATCCCCTTGACTGTCCCTAACAGCCTTACCACCACTGACTTTAAAAAGAAACTAAAACGTTACTTTTTAAGCCCGAATTGAATTAGCGCAGGATTATCATAGTTTATTGTTAGTTTTTTTGTCACTAGTACTTCTAGTTTTATCTTTGCTATAGGACTGCTTGCATTACTTAATTTAAGTTTTGTATTTTGTTTTAGTTTTGTAATTTAGCCTTCAATCTTCATTTCTACCTAAAATAATTTCTTTCATTTTGACCACAGGTCGTATAAGCCCCCGGCTTTGGCTTTACTGAGTTTGTACTGTATGAACGATGGAAGAATAAAGAGTTAAAGTTAAAGTTACTAGCACTACAGTGAGTCTTTAAACAAAAGCGCGATGTCTTGTTGTTCCTTCGCGGGAATTTACTGTATGAATTCTGCAAGAATGCAGTTCCTCGTCAGTTGCTACTACGTTAAAGTCTTTGGTGCAGAGAGCGAAACTAGCTGTTTAAATACTAATGGCTATAATCGAAAATACTGATTTGCCATTGGCTGCAAAAAAAGCCAAACTGAAGTTATATCCTTCCAAATAATCGGGGCCTGAGAACTAATAACAAATTGATACCTGAGGGACATTTTATGCAAGTTAAACGAGAACGAGTTAGACAATCATGAAAATCACAATTAAAGTGGAGGAGCAAGGAAAGAGAGGCAGGTGGAAGGCTATTAAAGTGTGAGAATACAAAACAAGAAACATGGAATTTATAGAGTGAATGGAGGGAAAGAATAAAAAGCTTCGAGACTAAGAGGCTTAGAACGTGTTCGTGGAGGAGAAAAGGTGATAATTCGCGCGAGAGAGAGAAAAGAAGAAAAATCGATTTGTTCAAGCGGACTCTCAAGGTCATGCTTCACATTTTTAATATCACACGAGCTTATGAGTCGTGTTTGGCCTGTCAGACGCTAACATCTAACTGAAACGATCGTTGTTTCGGTCAGCATTCGTGAAATAGCGTACAGTCAGTCTCTCAAGAGACAATCCACGGATTCCAACAAATCCGTTGTCGGGGAACCTCGAAATTAACGCGGCCATTGCGGCCATGCTTGATTCAAACTGAAGTTACTTTTCAGGTCTATCGTACATGAAGGAGCTTTTTGGTGACGGTATAATTCGGTGCCTCTTATACGACGACTTTCTGTGACCCCATATACCAACCACATGCTTGTTTGTAACGCATATACAGCTATTTCGAGAAAGGTTGTCGGAAAAATGTGCACGCGACAATCCCGAAAGGTAATATGGGATATGATCGATACACTGTTTCTGACGACTTTAGCTGTCGAACGTACTTTTGTTGCTTTCCTTTAACACTCAAAAACACATTTTCATGGCCTTTCGTGCCAATTCTTTCAAATTTCTTTGAAGAACAGTGAACTCAAAACCACCCACAATGCCTTTCGGGATTGCCGCGTGCACTTTTTCCGACAACCTTTCTCGAAATAGCTGTATATGGCTTTTTTGTGCGCATATATATGAGCGTTTGTAAGAAAATGGTCATATACCTGGGAATAAAAAACCCCACCAAGCAGGAAAGAAAGCAAGTATACGTGGGAAAAACCGCACGTATATCGTGTCATAATTTTGAAACAAATGGCCGACCATAGATTACGTCACTGTGAAAACCATCTAATCTCACTGTTTTTACCTGATTTCTAATTCTTAATAAGATCCAAGATGGCGACCATTTTGGTGACGTCACAGACCTCCGTCAGCGCCACCACCCATTAAAGATCCCTCATCTTGTGGAGAAGATCACAGGCTTTCCACTGAAGGCAAAATCGTTTCGAAATACTGCGACATGTCAAAAACACAAGGCGGGATTCCATCAACCCCCCCTTGTACCATGGTGGGGGTATGACTTTGCGTGTATGTCCGAGGGTTAAAATTCAAGGGGAAGCTAAGCTAACTTTATTAAGGCAGGTGACATCTAACAATTTCAAGAACTGATGAGGCTGTGACTCATCTGATTGGGTACCTTTTCCTGATCGAATTACAATATAGACAGTATTATTTTAGAAAAAGGAAAATCCGGAGTACCCAGAGGGGAAAACTGAGAGAAGAGAACCAAAAATACCCACATATGGCGTCGTTGCCGGCAGGAGCATGAACTCCAGACCACTGACATTTTTTGGAGGCGAAGCGTTCTCTCAAAGACTTTTCAGTAGAGTTGGATCGGTAAAACGGTTACCACAATAGATGCGCTCTCCATTTCAACCGAGTGAGTCCTGGAACCTATGGCTCTCGACTATGGTTAGCATTAGATAACATCAAGTGAAGCCAGATTGGACACCTTATGAATTTTACACAACGCATTATTTTCATAATGGAACGAGACTGGAATGTAGAATGAGGCTAGAATAGCTGAAGAAACCAAAACTACAGAGCGCCAGTTATGGAGAGAACACAGTAGACAGTTAAGCACTGATCTGAAAGCGGTTAGCTTTCAAATGTTGTAATGGGGTACGGCATAAGAACATGTATATTTTAAAAATTATTGGATTTGGCAGCTAGTCCTCGATGGTGTAGTGAATATGAATGTAGGCTATAAAGCAAGTGACCCGGGTCCAAGGCATTACAGTGGAGTTTTTCTATCTTATTTTATATTACGCAGTAAAGTTAGACTTAAGTTGTTCTTCATGTAATTTTACTGAAAGAAACAATCTGACTTCAGCCGATGTTACCTAATGCTAAACCTCGACTATCATTTGGTGTTCTTGGTGTTTCGTGGTGTGGCTATTTTGTTAAGTTGTAGAATTAGGAAATTTTTTCTTTTTTTTTTTCAAATTTGTAGAACATAAATTATCCTCGGGGCAAGGCGCAGCTAATCGTCACTTGATATTTATCGGCTATATCATTTTAAGTCGGGTTTGCGGCCTCTGGACACACACTTTCAACAAACAGCTCCAGAAGCATTTTATTTCTCTGTTACTGATTGGCCAAGAAATACTTTCTGACCAATGAGAAGCAGAGGATTATATTTCTTTTCCATTTAGTTTTCCCTAAGTCTTCAAGGATGTTAGTTAGAGTATTTCCTCGAATAATAGCCGGGGGCGATTATTTCTTTTTTCGCACAAAAAGGGGGCGATTATTCAAGGGAAAGCGATAATTCGAGGGAGGCGATTATTTCAAATATTGCTCACTGAAAGTCGTGCCTTAAATATTACATTATTTTATTTATTATTTTTTCATTAAATCAAAAAATAATCACACCAGATAAACTGAACATGGGCTTTTTAAGTGTTCCAAATTTAGTTTCTTGATTAATTTTCAGAGCTTGAATCGTCACTGATCGGTTTTACTGAATCACATTGCACGTCAACTTGACAAGGAGGGGATAAAAGAAAGAGAAGATGGCAGGAGGGGGGAAGGCTAGGGGGGCGATTATTTCAAATATTTCCGTCAAACTGGGGCGATTATTCGAGGGACGGCTATTATTCGAGGAAATACGGTACTTTCGGTTGTTGCAGCTGTACAACCGGGAAACAATTTTCCTTGCATATATGCAAAAAACATACTCTTCATCTAATCCCGAAAAGGGTAAATGCTAGGCTTAATGTACTGATTTCGTATTGTTTTCGGCAGAATTAAACAAAATAATCAGACTTGTTTACACTGTGTTCATGAAGAAAAGCACGATGCATAAAAGATAATAACGATTTTGGCGTGTTTAAGCGGAAATAAGACAACTGTGTGCATGAGAAATAAATTAAAGTATCTTTTTCTACTTATTTCATCGGATATGAGCTGTCTTGGAGTTGAAATTCAATATTATTTTCTTGATTTCACTTTTTTTTGAATAGGAATCATTGTTTTCTGTTTAAATGCCTTTCTAGTGTATTAATGACTGATGTAGACATAATGACAGACACATTTATGATCAGTGACATTTCCACCTAAATGGGTTTTCATCACCCAAGTCTTCAACTAGCAGATGTTTTACCAAGGTATGCGATGATATAAGAGTTTCATGTGTCAATCATTTGTGTTTTTCAACACTGAAATTCGATTCCTTATGGTATAAATACCATGTAAAGATCTTCGATATGAAGAAAAAAGACAGTTTTTTTCTGCACAGACTCTCAATGTCTTTAACTTATTGTTCCTGGAAAGCAGGTAGTTTACATTAGTTATGCGGCAAACCGGTAAATTAGTCATTCAGTCTGTAAGAAATTAAAGGCAAATTCTAATCTATGGTCTTCCAGCAAAGCTTCCGCTCGTTATTGCTGTCCTATCGGCTCGTTTGATTCGCCGTTTTTATCAGGTGCGAATCTTGGTTTTACCTCAGTAGGTTGACTGGTCTCTGGAGCCTGAACTACTGTGTCCCGAAAGTTCCTGAATAATTGCAGTTTTCGGCATATTGCTGGTATGTTAAACTCTTCTTGTTCTAGTATAGACCACATATTTAATATTGCAATATCAATACCTTAGCCAAGAAAATTCTCGGAATACTGAGAGGCTGACAAACTGACTACCTGATCCAATCAACGTCCTGACTCATTTTACTATGATTCAGATTGTATTTCCGCCTTTATTTTACGAACTGTTTGTCATCTCACGTTCTTCTCGGTGTCAGTGCAAAGGCTTAACTCCATGAATTTTATTTAGAGCCAATTCGAGACGTCCAGAATTGACCACGAACCGCAATGTTTGTACACAACAGCAGCTTTTCAGTCAGGATCTCAGCAAGAAGAGCAATGGCTTTTCGTCCATTTCCCTTCACATAAATTATATTTCTTGTCAGTGTGATATGTATTTTAAGTTTTGATGACCAGCTTCTCGATCCCGTTTCCCTTTAAAGTAGGTAATACAGTCTAAAGTGCATCATATTGGTGATAACGAAGCATATAAGTTGCATAAGACATCATTGCGATGTGTATTAAATAAAGCTCCTTAGTTTCTAATTATTACACAGGGATCGTCGAAATACGGCTCTGGAGAGGTGTGACTGTATATATTACACGCATGGAAAATGAAGCCAACGTTTTAGTAAAACTGATTTTAACAAATTGTCAGGGACAGGTTTATCGCATTTTAGGTCTACTGTTATTTTCAGCTTAGGTTTCGTTATATTTTAATTTATTTTTTTTGATCTCTTAAAGATCAAATAAGAAAACGCGGCGCTCTATTTGAAAAAAGGAAGAACCACCGTATCATACATTTCTCCTCTCCGTCGCAGTACTCGTACTCAGAAAAACAAAAGTATTCTTTAAAGATTGAAGCTATCCACAGGCTCCTCTCGACCAGTAATAAAATCACTTTATCTATTTGTGCATTACTTCGTGCAACTTCACTTGAAAGCTTCAGAGTTTGACTTCTTCTGCTGTTGTTAACGGCTTTTTGACGATTGTTTAAAATTAGCCTAAAATGGTAACTGAAAGATCGTTGGAAATTGAGTCCTGCCAAACACGAAACCATGGGTAACATGACGTCATAACATGACTGCCGCATAACACCAAATGCCTTCATGATCACGTTGCCGTATCATACGTTCCACTTCTACGTCGCAGTACTCACTCTCAGAAGAAAAGGAAATAATTTTTGAAGACTAAACCTCAGAAATGGCTGTGTATGATTTGACACATTCCTTTTAAAAGACAGATTTGACCAAACACTGAGTTCCACAAGTTTTGAGCTTAGTTGATAATCAGCTTGGACTGAGATGGAGTAAAAAAGCGAATGACAGGGTAAGTATTCAGTAGATGCATTAAAAATATTGGAAATTTTCCTCTGGTTGTTTATCTAGTCAGGTATTCATTCGACAACCGTTTTCAGCTAACATTATATCACGGCAAAAGTCTTGGACTAACTCCTTAGAGAAGGCTAACCAACATGCTTCAAAACTGTTTTCATATTTCTAGCAAGAGTAGCAGTATAGTATGTATAGTATAATTTTGTAAAATTTATTAAAGGTAAAATTTCAGTTTCAAAGTGGCTAAATCATTCGAGTCAGTTAATTTTAATTATTTATCAAAATTAGTGTCCCATAAATACATTAAGCAGTAACAGAAAGCTATCTTTTTTGGAAGATTTGCTCAATTTCCATTTTAATGGGGCCATTCTGTTATTGAGAAAACTGTTCAGAACTTTTCGAAAAAAGAGAAGAGTGATCTGCCTCTCACCTTGCTACAAGGTCTCGGAGCGGCTATCATTGAATACTATGGTGTTGTCATTTGTTGCCCAGGTGGGGTTTTATTTTTGTTATGTTACGGATGGAGATGATAAAAGTAAATTTTAATCTTAAGAGTGGAACAGGGACTCCACAACCCTAAACTCTTTTGTGAATTATTTACACACTGCATCTACAGCCTGCTGACTAGCACAAGATGTGAGCTAAGACAATAATAATCAATGAACAACAACAATCTGAATTCTTTTCACCGCAATTTTCTACTAAGAACCATTTTATTATCAGGTACTTATTACTACCTTGGACCGAAATTTTGGAGTCAATAACCTATTAAACAAAGAACCACTTACTCCGTAATTTTGTAATTTCAAGCTGTTAAAATCATAATCAATATAAGCGATATAGATTTCTTTTGGCGCGCCTCCTCGCCATTGTTTTCTCTTTGATTTCTGTATCTCTCTTGTTCTAGACTCAGTACTGCATAGCTGAACGGTGCGTCTCCTCCCCATTCTCTGCATGGCTTCGCAGCTTCTCTTTCAAACCTTTACTCGCGCTAACGCCGATACCACCAGCTATTCGTGTTCTTAGTGTAGCAAAAAAACTCATTAGTTAATTAATTAATAAATTAAAAGAAGTCAAAGCAACCTTGGCAGATTTTCAAAACTAGTGAACGCTGGGAATTTTATGCCATTATCATTTCTGATCATCACACTGCGCATCATACACATCTTGTGATTCATTTTTACCTTGGTTTAACTTTATCTTCCCCCTTTTTTAAATTCATTGTCATAAATTACCAAGCCCCGAAATTAAAATAACTAAAGGTAAAAATTTACTCAAAATTTGGTGAACTACAACATGTAGTGAAGAGGCGGGACATTTTATTCCTTTCTGATACGTCCATTATTAGGCGAAAGATTAATTCCTTCCTTCGGCAAATTTTATCTTAACACAGCTAACTAAGACTTATTTACTTACCTCGGTTTTAACGGTTAGCGACTCCCAAGAACAACCAACGCAAATCAAGGGATGTCGTGAGCCAACTACAATGAGACGATTATTATAAGAGCAGTTGTCTGTAAGATTCGAGCTATATTGAAAAGTCGCTGCCACACCATCTCATGCACCGAATTGGCTAAAAATTGGCAAGTAGACTTGATTTGGGGTCTTAAATAAGGAATAGGTAACTTAAGGCTCTAATTCCTCCTATTTCGGAAATTATCGACATGGCCGGTTTTTGGGTGCCTCCGACCGGCGCCATATTGGTTAATAGAAGCTGCTTTTGAGCCTTCGACTACAACCCTGTCTTCAAAGCTAATCTTCCTTTGCCGATACACATTGAAAGAACAATCCCTCTTTATTGTATTTTCAGAAACTGATTCGAAATTGATAACATTTTCTCAACGATCGATTAAACTGTTGGTGGGTATACTTTTTGAATTTTTTACACTCGCAAAATTAACAGAACTTTAAAGGCGTATATCTCTTTTGCCACATCGCATTGAGGCTTGCCACTGTGCCTGAATACTCATTGTTTGTAGTTAAATCGAGTTCGTTAATAAAAAAATTGGGCAAATTTAACGGAGCAGAAACAAAAGTAATGAATGGAAGAGTGTTCTTGCGATTTTGTCAATAAACTTTACACCGAATACTCGCCAGGTGTTGCCTAAATTACAATCGATAATAGAGTTTCTGTCCTTAAATCTGAGTGATCTGTGTGATAGAATTAGCCTCTGTAATATAATCGATTACTCTGCTGCGAAAAACAGTATAAAAAAAGGAAGATTGTATAAGGAAAAGGAAAATGAATTTGTTATGTTTATGCTACGACGCGTAAACAAAATGCAACCATCACAGTCGAACTGGCCATTTTCTTGATTTTCCTCCAGTTCCTTTATCGAAACCAGAGCTTATAGCTTTTAAAATTAGCCATAGTAATGAAAATTGAGATGTATTACCTTACTCGACGACAAAGATGCCAGTTTCCACCTTGATCGAAAAAAGGTAATATTTTCCCACGCATATCGCGGGTCGTCACGTTCCTTGCATGGCGTTACAACTCACGTGAAACCGCCTGGTTTCAAACAACTGAACTGAAGAATCCCTGAAAATCTTAGCCAGGCAATAAATAATGGAAGTTGATATAAGTTATCATTATTAGTGAGCGAGGATGCAATGACAGTTCCAGCTACATGTATTTACAGCGTTTGAAGATTCACTCAAAACTCTTGAGACATGAGCCCTTGAAAAAAACATCATTACCTTTAAAAAAAATTGGGCTTTGGCAAAGTAATATTAGCAACGGTTCCGTGTACAATTTACATAATTACTCCACAAGTTACTCCACAAGAATTTATAGAATCAGAGAGAATTATAGAATTTACATAATCTTGTCTGGGCTCCATTGAAAAATTGCACTTCATCAGAAACCTTCAAGTTCATCCACCGCCGCGACAACTTCATGATCTATTTTAATGGGTGGCTTTCTGGAACTATCCTATGGCTTGTCCTTTCTGGTCGTCACTATATTAGCGAGCACGTTTCCATTTCTCTCCAGCAAAAGTCTCTATCAGGAGCGTAGCCAGGATTTTCCAGGTGTGCGCACAATTTTCAAAACTTACCCTAACTTCTTACTCAGTTCTCTCGTAACGTTTCCCCATTACATTTGCTAATTCAGTTAACTAGGTAAGGTTATGCGTGGATGAAATGGCACTTGCAATCGGTGACAAAATTAGGTTAGACGCTTTACCCTCAAGGACGACTCTCACGTTTTGCTGACACTTTCTACCTTAGAAGAGAAAAGTGAAGCTTTGCCTTCCCCACTCCGTGTAAAAATTTCGTTCGGCTGTTCAAACTACTTTTAGAAAACAACAAACTTCCCAACTTTAATTTTTAACAAAGGTATAAGGGTAGGAATGTACGCCATGCAAATGGAGTATTTCACTGATTTTAACACGATGATCATAAAGTAGTGTCTAGTGAGTACGGGGCTAATGCCCCATCGTAAAAACCTGAAAGTGAAAACAAAAATCTTGTATAACCGAGTAGTACACATTTTTAGTTATTTTTAGTGAGTTGTGAAAAATCACAAATTTGTTTCTTCTTGAATGTGTTATACTCTCATCCACTGAGTGTTTCCAGTCTCTCCGATATGCCTGTCGGATAGCGGAAGTTAACGTAAATGATCGATTACCTGAAAAGAAGCTACGATCCTAATTTTCCACGTTCGGGTCTTTTCCCTAGCCAAAATTTTTCCCTCAAGGAATTTTTCTCTGTTTTACATAATAATTGGTCTTGCATGCTTATCGATTTTGAGAGCCTAGTCC